AGTCACCTGCACCCAGAATAGGACTTTGTCCCTGTTCCCATCATTAATTTATTGCCTGTGAATTAGTGGGGCCCTGGAGACGCGCAGAGCCCACCTGTTCCCTCGCCCGGCTCTGACATTTGGAGCCTCGGCTGCAGGTACCGGCACCGGCAAATGGTCCCATAAACCATCCGCTAACGCGGCGCTGCCAACGTGTGCCCGCCCTGCTCCCCTCCCTCTTCCAGCCGGCGCTCCCGGGGGGCTGTGGGGAGCACCCAGCCTGGCTCTGGGGATGGACACAGACAACCAATGCCTTTTTAAAGAGACCTTATTCTTCCCTGGAAAAGCAGCTTTAGTACAGTTGTGGGACGCTCAAAGGGGTGGCACAAGGCACCCTGCTTTTGGTGACGAGGCATGGCACACGTGGTGCCAATCGACAGCAGCCCCCACCCTGTGCCATCCTTTCCACAGAGGTTGTGTTTACACCAGCACAGCTCCATTAACCCAAACACCGTGCTGCTGCAATCCTGGACACCAACCAAATCAGCCCTGAACACTTCCCTGGGAAACGCATCATGTATTGTTAACAGGGACGGGAGGAGGGCGGTTTTAAAGCCACCATTACTGTAATGCAAGAAAATTACCATGTAGCATGTGGGGCTCTGAAAGCTGCACTTAATATCCCACACCTTTCTGAATCCTTTGTGTCATGACAGTCCTGGAAAAACAGCAGCTGGTTGGGGTCTGCAGCAGGGACCAATCCCCCCACTCCTCCCCTTGGGCCACCACCCCTGCCTGGGTGCTGAGTGCCCTGTCCCCTTCCCAGAGCCCCTGGCAGGACCAGCACTGTGCAGAACCCCATTCTGCCTCCACCTGTCTGTCTCCATTTTTGGACACCTGAGCCCATGTCAAGCACAGTACATCTCCACAACTTTCCAAAAATAACCCAGGCAGGAGCGTTAAAGAGCCCCTCTTAGTGTTCCCATGCAAATAAAAGCTACAGGGTGGTCACAGACAGCACATCCACATCAGACCTAAACCTACAGGAACCTCAACATTCAACATTCTATTTGTCCCTCATAGCACATGGAGAGCAGGGAGATTCCTTGTTAATCATAGGAAAATAAAGAGTTTTTAATGAATAACCTCTAAACAATCCCTAGAAGAGAGAGGAAACTCTCCATCTAAGGCAGCCTTTGCTCCAAGGCTCCACTACAGTGGTGCCTGAAGCCACCCCAGCTCACAACAAACTTTCCAGAGCCACTTTCCACATCTCCCAAAGCCATAGGGACCTGCTGCAGGGGCAGGAATAACCTGGCTGAGCAACCTGCTGCTGCCACAGTGCTTCTGCAGAGCTCTGCACTGTTGGGTGGAGGAGAGACAGAGGTTTGGGATGAATCACACCATGATTTCTAGGCAAAGTCCCATTAATGGAACCTCTCCGAGGCACTGCGGCTCCGAGTCAAGTACTTGGAGCTGGAAGCCGTATTTATGAGTGAGATATATCCACAGAGGGAGCAATAAACTGCAAAGCAAAGTATGAAGGTTTGCAGAAAACGCTGTAAAGTTTTACACTCTCGAAAACCGGGAATAAAAGATGTACCCATTTAAAGCAGAGTGGATGGAAAGACTTTGCACAGAACTGTAAAACAGCCTTGTAACAGTTAATTGCTACTTTCTTGTTGCAGGCCAGAGAAATTCAAACCAGGAAAAGAACGGCTTAAATCCCCATCGAAGAGCGAGAGGCAGGGAGAGGAGCGCAGGGAATGGGAACCTTTGTTCGGGATCCTCTGCACCACGCGGAGGAAGAGGCACCTTTTGTTCCTGGCGCCGGCTGCTCCTGCTCCCCTTTGCGGGCAGAGCCTCCGGGGAGCGAGAGCCGCAGGGAGAGACCCTGGGCGGGGGCCCAGCAGCGTCCCGGGTGTTAATTACTTGTTGTTTAACTAAGATCATATCTATGCCCGTGCAACAGAGACTCAGACAAGCATCTATCCCGGGTAGAAAGGGGGCAGAGGGAAAGGCACAGCAGCGGGTGGAGTCTTCTGACCCCCCCAGAAACCTTGAAGCTCAATACATAAATACACGGAAAAACTCAAAACGTTTTCTGCAACAACCAAAACAACCAGCCCACACACTTTGAACCAAACCTTCCAAAAGCATCAGCACCCAGTGCTGCCCCTAAGGGATCCATATCTCTACCACACCGTCTCCCCAGCCCAGCATCCCTCTGCACATGGACCCACCCTTACAGGTCCAATAATGCTCATGACAGAAAGCTGTGGAGTTCACAGAAAGTCCCTGAGCAGCTGTTGCACTTCGGAAAACACGTGCACTTTATCCTTTAGGAGCACAGTTGTCACCACCTTTTTTTCAAATAACCAGTGATTCCAACAAAAGAACCATTTCTCCCTTCCCCAATAAGTATCTGAGACTGGATATTCGCTTTTTCTTTCTTTACATGTACTGCAAACACGAAGGAGAGGAGCAGCTAGAGCTCAGTCCAGTAAAACCATGTGAAACAGAGACAAAGATGCTTCAGTCCAACCCTCAGAGCACACGTGCCCTCCCCAGCACCCTGGCTTACCTCTCTCCTGGGACAGGGAGGCAGCAGGAGGGCAGGAAGGGTCTCCGGGTGTGCTGCTGCAGGCTGGGGGGCTTCAGTGCTGCCACTGCCGAGCCCAGGGCTGGCCCTGGGGCTGCTGAGGCTCATGCCCAGGTCCTGGGTTGAGCCTGGGGCTTACCCAGTGCTTGGGGCACAAGCTGGCTGCTCCCAAACTGGCTCTGGGACACCAACAGGAGCTGTGCTGGTGGCAGAGACCACATAGAGCCTAAACCATCAATGCCTTAGGGCACTCCAAGTGCCAAACCAGTCCCCCCCACCTCCCCTGCCCTTTATAACCTCCCAGATGCCACCCAGGTGAGGGGATGAGGCCCAGGTGCTCCTCCTTAAGCTGATGACTTGGTGCTGTTCCAGCTGGGAAGGTTCCCCTCCTCCCTCCCCAGCCTTCTGCCGGGGCTGCTCTTTTTTTTTTTTTTGTATGTGATTTCCCCTCCCTGCAGTGGCAGATTTTGTGCATTATCCAGGAAAGCAGAGCGATGTGTTCCTCGGTGTAAACATTGAGGTGCTGTTTCCATCCATCAGAGCAGCACTTAGGTGGAGATGACAATGGAGCTCGCACAGCCCTAATCACACACTTTGATTGAAATGAGAGTAGGGGGGGAAATGGAACTTGGATGCCTGGAGCCCAGCTTCCGTGGAGCAGCAGAGCTGTCCGGGGGGCTGCAACCAGCTCAGGGGTGGCTCTTTGGGCTGACCCTAATTGCAGCCTTCCAGTGCCTGAAAGGAGCCTGCAAGAAAGACAGAGACTATTTACAAGGGCCTGGAGTCACAGGACAAGGGGGAATGGTTTCACATTCATAAGCAGTAGGTTTAGATTAGATATTAGGAAGAAATTCTTCCCTGTGAGGGTGGTGAGGCCCTGGCACAGGTTGCCCAGAGAAGCTGTGGCTGTTTCATCCCTGGAAGTGTTCAAAGGCAGGCTGGACGGGGCTTGGAGCAACCTGATCTAGTGGAAGGTGTCCCTGCCCATGGCAGGTGAGGTTGGAATGAGATGATCTTTAAGGTCCCTTCCAACCCAGGCTATTCTATCAGTCTACGATTCCCAGGAGCAGGCAGTGCCAGGCTGGTGGTGAGGACAAGGCTTGCCAGCCCCAGGATGCTCTGCTACCCCTGCTCAGAAATACCCCAAGACCTCTGGGTGCAGACAGTTTGTACTTTTTTCCCCAAATCATGTCACTCAGTGAGCAAAACCAGTCTCTAAGGACTGGAACATAAGCACTGTGCTGGCAAATGTCCCAGGGTCAGCTTGCCTGGCTGATGGGGCTCTTGTGGGGCTTTAGAGACCGTTTTAGCTCCGTGTCTCAGCGCTGCAGTAGCAGGGAGGGCTGGTTGTTGGCTTTGCAGTCAGAAGAAAACCTCTTTACTGTGTTCATCTCTCAAGCTGACGTCCTTTTTACGCCTCACATCCGCAGCAGAAGGTTCGGCAGCGGCGGGTCTGGCCGCGCACAGTGAGGGGGTTTGTGAAGCAAACGCACCTCGGGATCCGCAGTCGCACTTGCAAGTTTGACGATGATGCGGCGGCTCCTCCACCGTCACTCCTAATGACAGATCTTTAAAAAAGCAAAGGCCAATTATATAGATTCAGAGCCGGTAATGAGCCTAAAACTGTTTGATCATTTCGGCTCCCGCTGGGCGAGCGAGAAGCGGATGAGCTGCCGCAGGGACCCGCCAGCACGACAAGCGCGGGGCTCTGCTGCCTCTTTGTGGCGAAGAAGGTGTCACCACCGTGTGCCCTCTGTGCTGCTTGGGATGGAGGACGAGGGGCTCCTGCGGGCTGCAGGGCAGGCTGGGACCCCATCGGCATGGGACAGGCAGGGGCACAGGGTTCAGAGCCAGCTAAGGAGGCAAAACCCGGGCACCGAGGCTGGGAAGATTCTGGTTTCTGGTGCTCAGAGGTGAAATTGCAGTTTTCCAGGGAAAACCTGAAACAAATGAAAGCAACAAAATTATGGAAATGGAGCGGAAATTTTGGCAGGTGCTTCTCATGGATGGGCAGGGATAGATCCTTCCTTCCTGCAGGAGAGACTCCAGCTGTCCTCTGCCAGGACATCTAATGGCCTTAATGCCCTGTGCCATGTTCCTGAACACACTGACTTCCATCAGCTCTCAGGAAGCAGCAGTGTGGGACAGAGCTTACAGGGCTGCCAGGCAGTGACTGCCAGCGACACCACCTCACACTGCACTCCTTTAGTGCTGTCAGTCACTGTGAAGCCAGGGATGTGCACTGTAATCCCAGGAATTGCCATTAATTGTGGTCACTCATGCAGGCTGGGGGGCTGCTGGGGAATCTGAGTTATTATGGAAAAGGCAAGGCTCAGCAGGAAACTGGGGAGCAAGTGTAAGTCCTGCGGATGAATGCGTCCAGCCGGAATCTGGAGCAAAGGACACAGGAAGGACAAACAAACTCAAAGTACAACAGGGGCCATGCAACGTGGGATGGGCGGAGCGAGGAGCAGAGCTGGCTCTCGGCAGGATGGACGCACCAGCAATCTTCACGGAGGCGGATTTTTACCAGCAGAGTTTCGACCCTCAGGCATATCTGAAAGAATATTACAGCATGAGTGACAGCCGGGAAGGGGCAAATGTGTTTCTGACGCAAAACTTGAAGAGCCTGCACAAAATGTTCTCCTTAGGTGAGCACTCCCGAGGTGTCCGGAGCCGTTGGACGGTGCCATTTGCAGGGCTGCCCTGGGGCTGCCAACAGCAGAGCACGTGCCCCAACATGGAGCAGACCCTGTGATAAACTGACACACTCCTGCTCTGTTAAAAATATCCCTCTGCCTGCATGCATGTGTCTGTGCATACAGGGAATTGCAGCTGGAGCTGTGCCTGTTTCTGGGAACACCATCAAACCCAGCTGGGGGAGGGGGGTGTGGGGTCAGTGCCCCTGCCCCAGGAGCTGGCACTGCTCCTGCCACAGGCTCTGGACCTGCTGCAGGACTTGTCTCTGGGCTGGACTGTGGCCAGAGGCACAGGGGCTGTGCCGTGGGTCTGTGGCACTCGGGGTCACATTTCTGGGTTAGGGTGAGCACGGTCCGAGGGGCTCTGGGATGTCTCTGCCCTGGGGGAGGCTCTGTCCTCACTGGGATGGTTTTGCCCTGACTCTGCACCAGACGAGCTGAGAGGTGGCACCCTGATAGATGTCGGCTGTGGCCCCACCATCTACCAGCTTCTGTCTGCTTGTGAGCGCTTCCAGGAGATTATTGCCCTGGACTACACCGACCAGAACCGCCGGGAGCTGGAGAGGTGGTTGAGGAACGAAGCAGGAGCCTTTGACTGGGTGCCGGTGGTGAAATACGTCTGTGAGCTGGAAGGGGACAGGTGAGGCTGGTGTCCAACCACAGTGGCCATGGAGCCACAGGCACAGATGTTAAATAACCACGGAACCTTCCTCTACTTTTTTGTGGATTTCCTTGCCAGGGAGAAGTGGGCTGAGAAACAGGAGAAAGTGAGGAAGAAGGTGAAGCAGGTTCTGAAGTGTGACGTGACCAGAGCCAACCCCACGGGCGCTGTGTCCCTGCCACCAGCCGACTGCATCGTCTCCACCCTGTGCCTGGAGGGCGCCTGCAAGGACCTGCCCACCTTCCGCAGCGCCCTGAGGAACATTGGGACCCTCGTGAAGCCGGGGGGGCACCTGGTGCTGGTGACCGTCCTCGGGGAAACCTACTACGCCTTCAACAAGCAGGTTTTCTCGTGCCTCCGCCTGGAGAAACACGAGGTGGAGGCGGCTGTGGAGGCTGCTGGCTTTGAGGTGACGTTCAGCGAAGCGCAGCCGTACACGGTGAGCGACGAGCGCACGGACTGCCAGGGTACGCTCTGCCTGGTGGCACGCAGGCGTCCCTCCGTGTAGTGTGAGGGCACGGGGGGAGAACAGCCGTGAGCCTGGGCTCAAAAAGTCCTGCTGGTGTAACCCAGCCCTTTATCTGGCACCAAGTAAACTCCTGAGCGCTCTAACCGTGGATTTGTGTGGCACACATGGCACTGGCACTCCAGCAGCCCAGGCCTGAGGTAACCGTGCTGGCTCCCCCTGGCCCAGGGACAGGGACGGTGTCCCAGTCCCTTCCCTGCCATCCTTCCAAGCCAGCACAGAGCTTCCGAGAGGCTTCCCTCTCTCAGCTGTGATGTGCTTTTTGGAGAGCAAAACCTACTCCTATGGGAAAAATGTTTGGCCACAAAGGCAGTGAACTCATCCCCACTAGAACCGTTTGTGGGCAAGTCCTGCAGGCTTGCACCGAGAAGCTCTGGGGAGAAAGGACTCTGTGGAGGGCAGCAGCAGGCCCTGCACCCACCCAGCCCCCAGCAGAGCTGAGGGCATGTGCTGATCCTTTCAGCACACCTGTAAAAAACCAGTTGTTTGACCCAATGCTGCAGCCCCGGCGAGCGGTACCTGCTGGGGACTGGCACCGGGAGCAGGGCAGAGGGATTGCTGTCCCCAGGGCACCTCTTTTGCCCGCAGCACCACAGGCCAGACACAGTTGTCCCCCATGGTTTAAGACCTGTGACACACCAGAGGTTCATCACACAGATACTCGAGCCCAGCCATATGTAATAATCACTAATATTTGCATACTCAACGTGCCTCAGTTCTCAAGAGGGTTTCTTTTGGGTAAATGGTTAAGATTTGTTGCTGAAGGTCCCTTCCAACACAAACCATCCCATGATTCTATGACTTTGCATGAACACATTGTCCTGGGTACCTCCACCAGGCAAGGGAAGCAAGGAAGAAAGCCATAATTATATAAATATACAGAAAAGCAAACAAAATCCCCCGAAAAAGTAAACCACCAAGAGCCTTTTCTAAAGTTGAAATTAGCAAGTGAAATTGGTTGAAATCTCCCAGTATTCCTGAGTGCCTGCACTTTAAGAGTAAAAACAAGACAGCTAAAATGGGGTTTCCCCCCAAATAAAAAATGTTTTTAGTTTTCCACTTTGCTCCTTCAAAGAGCAAAAAACGCACAAAACAGTGACACAAAAAGCACAACAGAATTCCAAAAGCGAGTCTGTGAAGCACCTGACGTGGTTCCTGTTCTCTGAGCCAGGCCTGAGCCCGGCAGGTCCTGCACGTGGAATGAGCCCTGATGGCAACACGAGCGTCACACGCTCCCAGCTGAGCCCGAGGGGAGCCGGGGAGGGGAAAGAAGGCACAGCAAGGCAAACGAGGCTCCAGGGAAATTAAGGCAAAGTGGAAGTCCTGGCAAAGCGAGGTAATAACTCCCTTTCTGAACGAGTGGCTGTTTGGGATTTAACCAGGCGGACGCGATTAATCCAAATGGATATAAATTCTAGGTGCGGTGGCGAGTAATGGGGTGGAGAGAATGAACGGCACCCAATTAACAGGGAAAGCAGAGCTGTGCTGGGACCTAATGAGAAATGAAGGCTCAACTGCCCCCTCTCGAAATTCCTCCAGATGGAAAACACCCGTTTTACATCCCGCGTCTTCTGGGATTCCCAGGGGATTACAGTGGCTGTGGAGATTCAACGGCAGGGGCAGGGGAGCCGCTTTCCAAAGTCCTTGGAGAAGTGAAGTCGCCGGGAAGGGCGCTCTGACGGGATCCAGCCACGGGAGCAGCTGGGCTCGGAGGGAGAGAGGGGTCGGGAGCCCCAGGAGGGGACACCCAGTGTATCACCGCAGCCCTCCCGGGATTCAGGGCCTCGGCGGCTTCCCGGTCTCCAAACAGCCCGTTTGGGGGTTTTTAACCTGCGCCCCGGGTTTTAACCGGCTGGCTCTGACCCCCTCGGTTTCCCAACAGGAATAACAGGAAAAGGGGGAACGCCCGGCACCAGCCGCGGTGTCACCGCCTGGACGCAGGTGCTGTCACGACACCGGGACACGCAACACATCCACGATTCCCTCGCGACAAACGGGGTTTATTGCCGGTTGTTAGTTGATTACAGGTTATCAGTTAATTCCCGAGGCCCGGGAGGGCGCGGGGCAGCGGGGCGGGACTCCGCACATCCCGTGTCCCCCGGGGAGGAGCGGGGCCGTCCCGCCGGGATTCCGCCCCCGAGGCCACGGCCCCGTTCCCGTTCCAAATTCCCATTCCCGTTCCCTTTCCAAATTCCCATTCCCGTACCCGGCCCCGTTCCCATTCCCGTACCCGGCCCCGTTCCCATTCCCGTACCCGGCCCCGTTCCCGTTCCCGTTCCCATTCCCATTCCCGTACCCGGCCCCGTTCCCCGCCCCGCGCCTCGGAAGGGCCGTGCGCGCAGGCGCGGTCGCGCAGTGACGTCACGCCGTCGCGCCCGCGCACGCGGAGAGCGGCCGCCGGAGAGCGCGCGCTCGGCTGGCCCCGGGCTTGGCCATGGGGGCGGCGGCGGCCGAGGCGAACCGGACGCTCTTCGTGGGCAACCTGGACCCCAAGGTCACCGAGGAGCTCATCTTCGAGCTCTTCCACCAGGTACCGTCCGGGCCCCGAGCTGGGTGCGCAGGGGAGGGCGCTGGGGGGGGCGGAGAGGCCTCGGCTGCCCCAGCGGGCTATGGGGGGGGGGGGGGAGGCGGGCGGGCTGGGCTACGGCGGCCGCCGCGGGACAGGGTTCGGCGGCGCGCGCTCTCGGCGGCGGTTCCTTCCCCCCCGGTGTTTGTTTAACGCCTTCGGTCCCGGTGCCAGGCGGGGCCCGTGATCACCGTGAAGATCCCGAAGGACCGGGACGGACGACCCAAGCAGTTCGCCTTCGTCAATTTCAAGCACGAGGAGTCGGTGCCGTACGGGCTGCAGCTGCTCAACGGGATCAAGCTGTACGGGCGGCCCATGCGCATCCAGTTCCGATCAGGTACCCCTGGAGGGCCGCAAATCACCCTTTTCCTGAAGGGAAAGTGAACTGCCGTCAGCTGCTCCCCAGCCTCCAATGGATTCGTGTTTCATTGGGCACATTCAGGTGCCTCTCACCCAGGGGCCCCTCACCTGCCTGCTCTGCTCACCTCACGCTCCTGTCCTGGTGCTTCCATCAGGGACTGTCTGTCTCTCGTGGCTGGTGTAACCCCCTTGGCTGAGCCTTCTCCTTGGGTTGTTATTGATTATTCCTTCTGTACCCTTGAGATCTGTTCTAAATTATCACACAAGCACTAAAAGTCACATCTCGTGGTGGTTAAATGAGGCATGTGGTCGCAATATCGCTGCCCTTTCTTGGTGGGGAACTGTTTTGGAGACTGGGCCCATGTGCTTTTGCAGATCCCTTTCAAAACTTGAGAGCAAATGAAGCTTTTGAAAGCTGTTGGTGTCCTTCACACCCGAGTTCCTCTCACTGGTGTTTGTAGGTCTCCTGAAACGTTTGTGTTTCCCCAGGGAGCAGTCATGCAGCCCAGGACACCAGTCTATCCTGTTCCCCTCTCAGAGCTGCTGGCACCATCCCTCCTGGAATGCCACATCCAGCCTCCAACTGCAGCAGGTACGAATCTCACCAGCGCAGGAGCTTGGAGTGGAGAGCGGCACTGCACGGCTCGTTGGCTCCAGCTTCTCTTCCCTAGGGCACCGTGGTCTGTCTCCCCTAGGGAGGGAACACGGCTGGGATGCAGACGCCCCTTGGACTGCAGCAGTCGTGTATTTAATGCTGGAATCCCTGCTCTGTTTTCCCTGCAGATACGAGAGGGTTACCGAGGGCGCCGCTGCCGCAGGGTTCCCGCCGAGCCTGCAGAGACAAGCGGTGGTATGTCCATGGCACACGCTCACGGGCAGCATGGGGTGGAGCTGCCTCCCCTTTTTGGAATCCTTGTTTCCTGTTGTGATTGTGAGAGGTTGTGGGAATATTCTTTTGGAGCCTCAAAAGGACAATTCCAGAAGATCTGAAGCTCCTGGTATCCATGGTGTCCGTCAGGAGGGCTCTGAGCTGTGGGAGCTCAGCTGTGGGGGAAGCAGTGGGCAATGGCTGTTCCATAAATTCCCATTCAGTCTTGCTTGCCCATCAACCTGTTCCATTCTCCTGGTATTTACAGTGTGATCTGGAGGCCAGCACAGGGTTTAGGTGTTTCTCTGCCCCTTCAAGCACCAAACCCACCCTCCCTTTCCTCTCTCCCCCTCCCAGATGAACAGCATGGCACGGCAGCAGCCCCAGTTCGGCAGCAAGTACGAGCAGCCCAGCTTCGCCCCTCCCGCCTACCCCCACGCCTTCCACGCCCCGCCCCTGGGCTCCCCTTTGCCGCGGCGCCCCGAGGGGCCAGCGCTGCGCAAGGGCCGGCTGGGCGCCCACCCCTACCCGCCGGACAGCCGGCACTTCGGCCGCGAGCGCTTTGGCCCCGACTACGGCCGCGGCAAGCGGGACGACTACGGCTTCGACGAGAGGGGCCACGACGCCGAGCACCACTACCGGGGCGGCCGGGACGAGCTCTACGACGACAGGCACCGGGACGGCTGGAGCCACGACTACGACCACCGCAGGGAGAGCTACAGGGAGGCCAAGTGGCACCCGTCGCGGCACTGACGGACTCTGAGCGCAAAGCAAACGCGACCCGTTTCTTACTGAGTACATGTATAAAATGCCTTCCCCGCAAAAAACCCCCCAGTGAAGTCACCTTTCAGTGTTTGTAAAAATACTAGCAGCCCAGTCCTGCCAAACTCTGGTCTCAGTTTTAAATGTGTTAACTCACACCTCAGGGCTCTTCATGGGGAAAAGAAAAACACTGTGATGGAGCATGGGAGAAACCGTGGCTGTCGGTGCTTTTGGAGGAGAGGAGGCTGTCTTTGTCAGATGGGCAGGTCCAGCCTTTTAAGCAGAATAGAGGTGGGACAGATGCTGCCTGGTGTCTGCAATATTCCTCATGGCATTTTTGATACAGAATCAGAATCACAGAATGGTCTGGGTTGAAAGGAACCTTAAAGCTCATCTCATTCCAACCCACTGCCATGAGCAAGGACACCTTCCACTAGCCCAGGCTGGCCCAAGCCCCAAACAACCTGGCATTGAACACTTCCAGGGCTGAGGCATCCACAACATCCCTGTGCAACCTGTTCCAGTGCCTCACCCTCACAGTAAAGAACTTTTTGCCAATATCTCGTCTAAACCTACTCTTTCAATTTGAACCCATTGTCTGATGTTCCCTTTGAATATTCCAATATTGCCTTGGAGAAGAGCATTGAAGTCTCCCAGTGGAAAGCCGGCGGGTGAACCCCCTCCTTCGGGGCGGGGAGGAGCGCGCTGGGCTGCACGCGCCACCTCGGGACTACATCTCCCAGCAGCCTCCGCGGCGCGCCCACAGCCGGGGGAGCGCGGGCGGCGGCGCGGGGCCCGCCGGGAGCTGTAGTCCGGCGGCGATGCTGGGCGGCGGCCGCGCCGGCCTGGGCCGCCTGCGGAGCTGCGCCGGGCGGCTGTGGCGGGGCCGGCGGCGGGCGGCGGCCATGGCCGGCGGCGACATGGGGCAGCGCATGGTCTGGGTGGACCTGGAGGTGCGGGGCGGCGGCGCGGGGCGGCGGGGGGCGCGGGCAGGGCGGGAAGGGGGGGCGCGGGCCCCCCGGGCGCGCTGACGCGGCCGCTCGCCCCGTGGCAGATGACGGGCCTGGACGTGGAGAAGGACCAGATCCTGGAGATGGCGTGTCTGATCACCGACTGCGACCTCAACGTGTTGGCCGAGGTGAGGGGCGGGACGGGCCTGCCGGGCCCCGCGCCGCTTCCAGGGGCTGCGGGAACAAAGCATCGGGCGGGCAGCGGGGGATCCCCATCCCGGGAGCGCGGGGACGGGACTGCGTCACGTTGCACTTCGTGTCTCAGGGCTGAAACTGCGCCGTGCTCTGCCTGTGCTTGGAACTAAACTTTTAGTCGCTTCTAAACTTTTTTTCCATTATCTTTTTTGTTCCATGTTTTTTTCCAGGGCCCGAACCTGATTATCAACCAGCCCGACGAGCTGCTGGAGAGCATGTCCGAGTGGTGCAAGGAGCATCACGGGAAGGTAAAAATCCTTCTCTGCCTTCGCCAGATGAGAATGACGTGTAATTCAGAGCGATCAGCTGCAGCACGCCGCCTTAGCAGGGACAACTCCTGTGCTGAGCAGTTTGCAAGTCAGAGGGGATGGAGGATGGGAGACAGTATCATCCTTATTTTGTAGCAGGGAGCCGAGGCAAAACATTTTGCCAAAGGTCTCACAAGTGATCTGTGGCACAGAGCAAGCTGCACTCAGGAATCATGCCTTCATCTTTAGCCTTCATCTTCCAGCTTGCCTAGAGCAGCCTGTGCTTTGCAGCCTGGTTTTTAATAAGTTGGAATAGTGCTGGAAGCTACTTCCTTGAGCTCAGGAAGCCCCTGAGAGGGCTGGAGCAGGCAGGGGGAGCCCGTAAGGGGATCTGTTGCTCAGGGATGTGCCCCTGGCTCCTGTCCCCCAGGGTGTGATCTCAGCCTCCTCCTCCCATTGTGAGGTTGGGAGTTGGGGTTTAACTCCCCAGTCCTCTTGTGGAGCTGATGCCTTGTCCTGCCTCTGTGGGAGCCCTGGTGTAGGCTGGGTTGGGTGGGTTCCTCCATCAGCTCCTCCCAGTGAATCCTCTTCCATCTGGCATAAAATAATTCAAAGACTAATTCCAGATGAGAAGGGGAAGGTGAGGCTTGAAGGCCCAAGTAAGAACAAGTGCAGGATCAGTGCAGAACAGTCCAGAGCTGATGAAATGCAGATTTCTGCATGCAGATTTCGGTATATATGGGATTAAACAGGCCTGTAAACACCGGGATGTTATTTTTCCCTGTCCCCTCAGCACTGGGAACCTCGTGCATTTTTTCACCGAAAGCATCACTTTTGTAACAAGAGATTATTTTTAGTTCTTTGGGCCACCAAAGAAAGGTTCCTCCTTGCCAGCAGCAAGAGAGCAAATGGATTTTCCAATCCCTGATGAATGAATTGAAATTTGAGTTAGTTTTCAATTAAGGGCTGAAGTTTCAAGACACCCATATCCCTCCTTTCCCCCCCCTTCGGC